AATAGGAAAAACTGTATAACTATATTCTGTCTCATTCTCTCGCAGACCTATATGTTTGTCTCTTTTTCTCTTCTTACTAAATATCGTGGCTGTTACTAGCCGCCCGCCGCTCCGTTACATCGCCGCCACGTTTCATTTTTTTCAAATTACTCCCTATTTTAAAGAAGTTTTCACTTCAATATTATTATAAATATATAGGAGTATAATAAGCAAAAGTTTCGATTATTTAAGTCACTCAAAACAAAGAAACGTCGTAATAAAACTTTTTAAACTTGCAGCATACCTCACGAAATTCGCATGCATCTTTCTCGTACGTGATTCTACTAACTAATGCAATATATGCGAAGCTCACGTACTTCTTTCACGACATACATACGTTCTTCTATCAAAATTGATACAAACCATGTACCATTATATGCCTCTTCGTTGTATTTCTAATTATAAGTGAAAAATATTGAAATAATTTCCGACTCACGATATTTAACGATTCATGGTCGGCGAGAAATGAAACTTTTTCACGAGCTTAGCCGGTGCGTAGTTTCATAACGTGCTGTTCTGCGGACGATTCAATTAGAACAATTATAATTTGTCCTACTTTCTTTGGCAAATGGAGGTCGTTGTTTAACTCGACCTTTTCGCTGCATTTTTTTTCATGTAACTTTATAATAAAGCTCGTTACAACCAGCGACGTATAAAAAAGATGGATTCGAATAAGAAGGAAGAAGCAAGCGTTCGAGACGGAATATAATAACATACGTCACTTGCGATTTTTTTCTTTTTTTCTTTTTTTTTTAAGAGAAATAAAAAAGAAAAGAAAAAGAAAGATATTCTTCGAAGTCATCGCGAGAGAACAGCTGGAAGAGAGAAATTTCGCGCTTCTCATTCTCTCAAAGGTGTCAAGGGTTCTAATTTCATGGGACGTTAAATACGTTTCTGCTTGTGAACAAAAAAAAAGGAAAAGAAAAGAAGAGCAGAACGGAAATGAAGAAAGGGTCTTTGAAAAAGAAGAGGGAAGTATAAAAAGAAAAACCGAAACGTTATATGAACGTTGAAAGAATCATAACGTCCGTTAAGCGACGTCCTAATCCTTTATAACCGTAATCTCAAAAGCTTATATATCCTTTCTAAAGATCTCTTGATACAATTAAAATCTGCGTTATTTCGACAATGACATTTCCAAATAAAATCTCGTAAGTATACCAACACATGTACTATATAATACAAACGCACATATAGAACCAAGAAAATAAAATTGAAGTTTTCGAATATCGATTTGTAAAAATTCGAGTAAATATATGCGAAATAATATATAGCACTGCTTATAACACGTTCGTGTTCCAATAAAATTCGAGTCTCTATCCCCCCCTACCACCTCTCTCTCTCTCCTTCCTTTTCCCCCCTCTCTCCTTTTCTCTCTTGCTGGATTTCGAATATACGATAAGAATAATCTGATTTTTTTTTTCATCCGATACAACGACAGCTGACATAAATCTCTTTCAATCGTCTGTATCTACAGAAAATCCAAACTGTGCCAACAAAAATTCATTGTTTCATGTAACACCACACACATACACGACCACGATAAATCCATGGTATTTCGCCAGAAAAAAAAATAATAGGACACAGTATACGCGTGCCTACAGTTTAAAAATGATTTAAAAAAAAAAAAACATATTTTTCAACACAACGTAACATTCTGGTTGATAAGACTAAATACATAAAATGAACTGCGGTAAATGTTACATTTGAAAATAAAGATAAAAGCTCGAAGTATTTCACAAAAGTTTAGGAACTTCAAAAATATATATAATGTGTAAGAGTGTTAACGTGTTGCAAAAGATAGCATGACGTCATTATCAAAACTTAAACATTTTCCAAGGATGAATTACATTAAAAAAAAAAAAAATAAAATAAAAAAAGATCAACTCTGTCATTTTTCTCTCTAAATTTTTGTACAAAGATAATGATTTTTAAAGTAATGTTAATGGAAAAAAATTGAAAAAAAAAAAAACAATAAAATGAAGATAATTAGCTGTACAATAAAATATAAAGATAATCACTTTACCAAGTTAACGCACATTTAAGAGATAAAGTTCCATTAAACATTTAAAAACTACGTATCTGAATTTCAGGTAAAACAGTCGAGTTAATTTCTCGGTTTGCTTAACTGCTTTTAAGCAGTTTTAATTGTAACTGTAAAGACTTTTTTAACTCTTTCGTATAAGTAATGTTGTCATCATAATCATCATCATCACCATTATTATTATTATCATCATTATAACAATCGTATGTACTGATTACTTTAATTTATTCTCATTTTCAAAATCATGGTTTCATACACTTTTGTATTTCACCCACGCTGCATCTCGTTCTTCGCATCGTTACATTAAAAAAGCGTGAGATTATTTTTCCACGCTTTTATTTTAATTTTATTTTAAAATTAAACTTTTTCCACGACGTAGCTTTGACTTTCGAGTTCATATCTGACGATCGTGTTCCAATTGAATCCAAAAAAAAGAAAATACTGGAACCGAAAGGTATCTCGTTTTAAACGAGCGTCGTTCACGGAAAGACATTATTTAGATCTGAAAATTAATTTTAATTATCCGTTAACTATCTTATGATCTTCTTTCGGAAAGTTTTTGATCGTTTGACGTTTCGTCGTACGCCTTCCGTAAGGATACCATAGAATATTGCAATTTTCGTCTCATCATTAATCTCCTTTGTTTTAGTCTCTCGCGTTTTTCTTTACGTCGGTGAACAAAGTAATTTCATCGGAGTAAGTAATTTATTAGATTGCCGACGTATCGTAATTAATTTAGTAAAGCGTTAATCTCGAAGAAGTGGGAATAAAGAAAAAGATAAGAATGAAGGAGGTTGATTATGAAAATGGTAAAAAAAAAAACGAAGTTCAAATCTTCAAATTGAAAAACAAGCGTATGGTCAACTCATATATTCGAATTTAAGATCGATTTGAAAAGATTTTATGAATTGCTTTTACTTTATTTCACTGACACAACACAAAAGATAGATCAATGAATATCATTCACGAAAGAGAAGAAGATCGATTGTACATGCAAACTTTCTTAATGTCTCAGCTATCGTAGGATTTGTCGAACTTCTCGTTTAAATTAAAGCGCAATTAGTAAGAAGTTTTTTTTATTATTTCTATGCGATTATCTTCGTAAATAATAAAGAACCAGCTACTCTTTGATAACGTGAACAATACAATAACTAAAATTATTATTATTATTATAAAGTTATAGTTAGTAACATTTATATTTTATGTTATCTTTAAAAAAATAAATTATTTTTCAATAACGTCAACAAGTCAGTCAAAAGTAAATCTTCAAGTAATTACGTACTCACGTTTTGCAAAGTTTAGCTTTCGAAATGTGCAGAGGATCTCCTCTTCATGAAGCGATGCAAGCAGAGAATTTGAATAATTGAGAGGAACACGTGCCAAATCAGAAATCACTGGAATGCGATAAAGTTTAACTCGATTCCATTGCATACACACAACCAGAAAGCATATGCGATATTTCCTCGTGATCATATTAATATACTACGGAGTGGTCTACGAATGAATATCTCTACGAGTAGTATGCGTTAGTGTTTGGCTCCGTTATACCACTAATTTTTAAATAAATTTCGACGAAATTTAATATATCAGTTACCGCGAGAATGTAATATTCTGCGCTATTGCATTACTCTTTAAATTATAAATCTATTACATAAAGAACGAAACGTGTAATTTGTATGAAAACCAGAACAAGGTAATACAGGGACAAGTTGGTATAATACCTTGAAATTATCTGAACACTGTATTTGTAGCTCGATTAAATTTAATTTTTAATTTTTTTTATTACTATAAAGTGTACGTCTGTGTACATTGACAATAGCAATTGTTAATGTAAGTTACTTTTAGTTGAAACTTAATTAATTATTCTATTTAATATATTTAAGAGTTCCTCACATTGCTAATATTTGTTCAAGCCAGTTACATATTCCTCACTTATAATACTACAATTAATGATATAAACAAAAAAATATAAAGCTGAAACTTTAGAGAATATATAAATACTATTAGATCTATATTGTAATACAAACAGCTCGAAAATGTACGATCTAGAAACGTAGCAATTAGTAACACTGCATAATTACCATTTAATACTGCAAACAGAAATAGAATGGAATTATCATAAGTGAAATAATCGGTTAGACAGACGAATATCCTGCAAGAAACGTAGGAACAACGAGGCTTTCTCGTATAATACGAATTTGATAATTCAGTAGGGTTAAGCCAAAGATCGTAAACTTGGAAGTATCCAATTTTCGACAACACTATGGCCAACTTTATGTTCAAGAACGCATTAACTTCACCAGCTGTATCTCAGCTGTGCAGAATGCAATCTAATACAACAAACATCTACGACATACACGAACGATTTATCGTCTAATTTAATGAGCTACTACATCGCGCGATATCGAAGAATTTCAAAGTTATGAAACTATAATTAGGATGTTGCACGAAGAGAAACGGGACAAGCAGTTATAATGGCGATTGTTACATTATTTTGAAAATGGCTAATGTAAAATTCTCTTTATAGTTTCCTTCAGATGAACAATTTGGATCCGGCGATCAAGATGTCAATTCATTTGATGTCATAGGAGAATTTGGCTTAGAGAAGGTAGACAAGAGTCCAACGTTCTTTTTCTTTTTGTTTTACTAAACAAAACTCACATCTTTTAATTTTAAAATGTTCGTACTAACCCAAAATTTTTTATAGCTTTTTATGTTGTGTGCCGTTTTTTCACTAACGAAAATAATTTTTTAATCGGACAAATAACTATTCGTTGTGATCCTAATTGTCGAAAAAATTGCAATGATTATTAAATTAAAAAGAATTTAAAATTGCTTCGCTTTTAATTTGTTTAAATCATGCTGCACCAATTTATCGAAATGAAGCTTTCAACTTGGATAGTCAAATAATAATCCTCAAAGAAGAACGACATCCTACTAAGGACCTGGTCTTTAGACTTTTCAAAAGGATGTCGATCGTTTCGTATGAGACAGAGAAATCTAGGAATTGGGTTATGAAGATAATCTCGTAAATACTGAAAGGATAATCTTCGAATGCTGTTAGGATTTCGCAATGGCGACTTTACTACGGATCTCATGCTTCACTATCCACCTCAGTCATTATGGAGTTTGACTTAATCCAAGCGAAGTTTACAGATCTCTATCACATCTACCAAAATCTACTAACTAAATTCAAAAAGAAGTATTAATCCGTTCAATTTTTTCATGTCGATTTTGTCCATAAAATTTAAGAATAACTAATTATTTATATTCTTATTTTACATCTTGCATCTTCCCTTAGACAAATCCTTTTCGTAAGTTGAACGTCCATTACTCTAAAATGAATTAACTCTACAAGAAATTAGCAAGAGTCTAGTTCCTTACTACTCGGAACTAATATTTAACTATAATTCTACTCATAATCAGACAGTCGATCTCGTGTGCAGGGTTTCCTTCTTCAGCTATGATAATTTAATAACGTAAGGTCACCACAACAGATTCCAGGTTGATCTCTATACCGACCGCTATCACGTGCATTCTGCGGAATAAGGACAATTTAATTTACTGGGCATCAAGACGAGCAATTTGGAATCCGTAAGGTAAATTTCGAGTAAACAAGATAACGTCATCTAATTATTGCTTCTTGTAGTAACCACAAAACAAGATACCTTCATATTATTATATTCTATCGAGTTTAAGACAGTATAAATCTATTTTTTCTTATGTTTTTGTAAAACTGGGGTCTTAGATGAATCAAATCAATATGGTTTAACGTTCGAAATTATATTAACTATTTCAATTTCGAATTCAGGCAAATTGAATAATGAAATTATTTCTATATGTATAAATCTATAAATTATCATAATGAACATTATTCTCAGATCGTAATTAAATATTCGATGTGACGTTCAAATATATATGATAAAATAAATCTTCCTATTCCCATTTAAAATTTTCACTCATTGTCAGTCCCACAAATTTTCAAATAAAATCTTCCTGCAGCCGATGCCACGTGCATTCATTTTTATGTGCATTCAATTGCTCGCTTTACGAAGTCGATTGTAACACCATGTGCCATCTGATGCAACGCGTACGGAATTAAGGGCTCGTTTAAAACGACTGACGATAAGAATGCGAATGTTATATTCGCATGTAGAAATTTTTATTTTTACGACAGTATTTTGGCATATAATAAATTTTTAATAATTATTTCATGACAGTGTATCGATTAATCAAAGAAATTGTGCGTTAAATAATTTTTATTGTTTACTGATTTAATTATTTCCTTGATTATATAAATATAAAAACACATACTTTGAATGATTTATAATTCAAAGATTAATTAACAAACACAACTCACAAATATATCAAAGTAAAATAATATATATTTAATTATTTCAAATAGTTAAGTGAATCAAATAATTATCTTATCTACAATTAATTATTTTATTTATCTTACGCTTAACCAGAAGAATTTCAACGATTTTTAAACTAAAGTAATAACTATTCATAGAAGTTGGCATGTTTGCGTATTTTCATTGAAAGTGAAGCGATAGATTCCGTCACTAAAATCAGAACAGAACATGGTGCGAAACGTCTTAGACCAATAGCGATTTGATGAACCCGTCTTCGGTTCGACCCACTTTCGAAACTCGCAGCTGCGCGGTAAATTCATTAAGCCAATCCAATTTCACTAGACGCCGATAGGAATGGAGGCATTTCTTCGTACGACAGATTGGAAGATGGTTTGCGGTTACCTTCGTAAGATACGTTCTCTTCATTCTGACTGCTACTATCTACGAAACGTTTCTCAAATGTCCTGTTAACGACCATCACGACACGATGTTCGAGGATCAATGAAGCTAACAGGATGAGCTCTATTAGTGTTAACTGATAGACAAAGACACAACACACTCTTTTTATCCCGTCATACTCTTTAACTTTTTAAGTCGATAAATAAAGTTAAGAATGAGAAAAAATGTTTCAATAGATCCTGAGAGCAAAATTTTCTGTAACTTTCCGTACGTTTAGAAGTTACCTTTGACTTTGTAATTGTATTTCATCTTTGTGTTGAACGATATTCTGTCTCTTCGGATTATTTCTTCTCTCGTTCTGATAAAGATTCAATTGATATAAAAATAATTGTATACGAAGTCTATATTCTACTCCAAAGAAACGAATAAATTTTGGAATACAAACTGCAAAATAAAATGGAAGAATTTTTTTGATCGAGTGTCCTTTCTCCATACATATACTATTCAAACATGTATATTTACATACGTTAGTCTAGCACGTAGGAAAACACGAAATTAACAATGACAACAGAACTCGTGCAACGAAAATATTTACTCCTGATAGTCGAAGAAGAAAATCAAACGAATGATGAATTGCAGACCAGATTTCTGGTCTATTATAATGACGAGGTTAATTATTACTAATTTAATAAATTACAAAGGTAAAGAAGAAATTATGCGTATTAATTTATGATTATCTGTGATCGTAATTTAAAATAATTTTAACTATAACTGTCAATTTACATTCTAGACCTTCCATCATGAAATACAATTCTAATTAATTATTTTTAGAATAGTTTCATGATTTATTTTTTATATGAGATTTTTAAAAAGATGTTGCTCGTTAAGCGTTCTGCTGGAATGCTGATGATTTGAAGAACGGCAATGCGGCATTGCGGTACAGCAAATACGTGAGTTGCTGGGAAGAAGAATGCTTTGGATGCTTGGCATGGTCATGACTTGAACTGTCCGGTTAGGAATCCTTTCTAGAAGCTTCATTTCCTTTTTTTTTTTATAAACTCATAGTTACCGTAGAGGAAAAAAGAACTAATATAAATATAAAGCATTTCTTCACTACAAATTTGAGCATGTGAATTTGCATTAGACACTAACCTTAGCAAAATCTAACTTAAATTATAGAAGAATATAAGACTATTATTGATGGCGAACATATTCCAGTAAACTTACGTAATAAATTTTTTGTTAATCCTACTCATCATTCATGGTCCGGTTTAAAAAAAAAATATATATGAACGATTAAATTCGTTCAATCATCAATATTTTCCCAATAATGCGAACGTCCGTCGATCACGGAAAAATGTCGAACGAAGGATGACTACCCCCTTCGATAAAACCGCGCCATTACTAATAATTATCGGAAAACACTTAGGGCAGGTGTCGTGTGTCCTAACCGTACAGTCAACCGCCTGATTTGCCTGAAACTTCATTAATCACCGTCAGTGTCTAATATTATATGCTCGCTTTAAAAGCATCCATCGAGTGGGAACCTCAGCGAAAATACGATCTGCAGTCTTCACTACTTTATAATAAACCGATGTGCTTTTTAACGTTTTCAAATAGCTTATTTTTTTAACAATACGAATGAATATTTTGTATGGGAATCATTTATATCAAAGTCTAACAAAATCTACTAATCAAACAAATTTTTAAAATAATATATACGCTTAATTAATATATAATGCTATAATCGTTTTAACGGCTAATTGTTATTACATATCTGTATGTATATACATAAGTACATAGATTGATGCTTAAAATGAAATTAAAACGAGCAACCATATAAATTGTTCAATTCGAGATCTTCTTTCAATGATGATAAAACGCATGCACATATATTTACGTTATCGATTTTTCTCTGTTATTCCTTTGCAGATCGATCGAGAGTACGACGAAGATAAAAATGAAGAAAGCAACCCACCACCGTTCATCACGCCTCCTCCTCCCAACCCAGACTGTGAGTAATAGCATTTACATAAAGCCGCAGCTATATCTTTCTGTGAAATAATATCTTTCGTAAGAAATTCAAAAGACGGAACAATGCTCGAATTTCGCAGATTCGTGGACGATGTTTCGATTAAAAATATGAAACTAAAAAATCTCTTTTGTTTTAGATAAAGGTCCAAAAGGTGAGAAGGGTGACAAAGGAGATAAAGGCGAGAGCGTTCGAGGACCACCAGGTCCTCCCGGACCACCTGGACCTGGATATGATTCAAACGACGAGGTATCAAATGTTATTTAATAATTCTGTTAAGAAAAAACTATACTTGAGGGACGTTTCTTCTAAGACGATAATTTTCAAACAATACGATAGAATCAATAAAAAATTGAATCTTATCATATTTTGATCAAACATATTTGTAAAAAATTTATACAAAATTAAGTATTAATAAGACACATATATTTTTTACACCCTGTAGATATTGTGATAAAACTCTCTTGAAATTTTGCCAAAAAACTTCGGATTCACCGAGTTCGCGTTCAACCTATAGTCTTTTTTAATACCTTTTATAAAACCTTGATTTATATACTTTTAACCGGGAAATAACATGAGTGATAAATTAAATAAAAAACTACACCTTAATTCATGAACCTAAAATAAGTGAAAATGATTAAACGTATCCCTTCGTAAATGTCAACAATAACTTCATTCCATTGAAGCCTTATGGTCATGACGTTATATAAGTCATTGCAACGTCGATAATACGTGATGTTCGTATTTACGGTACACGGATATGACACGATCGCATCCGCGATCAGTCATTCATCTGGTTATTCGAGCGAATTGATTTAGCGTGAGAATATCGAATCGCATATCAGGAAACACTGTGCATAGCACTCACATCGGCATCATAACTATTCGGTATGTGAATACGTTCCATTTTCCATTGAATTCACTTGAAAATTGAAATTAAGAATTTCTAATGCAAATTGATTACCTTTTCGTTATTTTAACATTCTTCATTTTGTCAGGATTGGCCAGTAAAAATACCACAAGGTCCACCAGGTCCTAAAGGAGAACCAGGAAAATGTGCATGCAATGCAACAGCCTTGATGACATCCTTCACGATGCCAAAAATGATCGAAGGACCGAAGGGCGAACCAGGTGTCCCTGGAAAGGAAGGAAAGCAAGGGCAGATGGGTCTCACTGTAAGCAGAATAATTTTTTTAATTATAAGTAATAAAGTAATAATGACTAATTTTCTTTACAAAAGGATAAAGCAATTCAATTACTTAATGATTATTTTTGGTAAAGGGTGCAGCAGGACCACCCGGAGAAAGGGGATTACAAGGTCCACCTGGAGCAAGAGGTGAAAAAGGAGATATAGGAGTACTTGGACCCGAAGGTCCTCAAGGACAGAAAGGTGAACCAGGTAGAGATGGAATACCAGGTGAAAAGGGAGCTCAAGGACCTCCTGGACCACCTGGAAAGGGTGAATTCTCCGGCTACGATGTAAGTTGACGTACTTTTCATAAGTTCTTATCGTGATGATTAAAGAGGGGATAAAAAATGAAATGATCTAAAGAAAAAGAACAATACATTAAATTCATTCATAGAAAGGAGTATAAACATATTGTTTATAAATGAAAAACCATTTAAAAAAAATATTATCTCAAAGATCATGGATTTCTTTAAAATTCCAAGAATGTGTATCATTGACAACAATATACCTAACTCTTATTTAGTCGATTCGTAGATATACTCGCGAAATACGCAAACATTTAGCTGAACGTGTCTTTCGTCCTTTTATACGACAACCTTTTCATGAGATACATACTCCCTCAGCTACTTTCATTCCTCTTTGAGCACTGTCTTTCACCTAGTCGGTCAAACGTTTGGTCGGTTGGACGATCGCGGTGCAGTAGGCAACCTAGAAATTGGTTTCTGTATTCCTCGGGGAAATCGAGCTTCTCACGATGCGAACTCACGTAAGATAACCGTAGCACACACGATACGCGAGTCGAACACACAGAAGAAGAGAAGGATGAGAAAGGTGGTACTCGAATTCCCTGACAACGAAGTCGTCCTCCTACAAGTGATCTGAAATCGAGATACCATGAAATTCGACTTTTTCAAATGTACTTTATTTTATGTAAGAAAATTGTTTATCTTTCCTAAAAATAATTATGTTCGTTTTCACATGATAATAAATAAAACCAATTATCTCTTTATGAATCCCGTTGAAATAATCTAGATAAAGAAAAGAAAAAAAAAGAATTTAGAAAGAGGTTAAAAAGATTAGATGAATATATTACTTCTCAACCGTTATTGAATGAAAGCTCCCCCACGATGATATATATCTTGACATCTTTCTTCGCGTACAATTTATGATTTTCGATTACTCGACTCAAATATGATTTCATCAAAGAGACGAATAGTCGACTTTAACAACCATGTCTCAATGTCATGATACGATTCATCGATTTCAAAAGTACTGTACATTGTGATAACGTGTGATGCTTCACATTCTCAGTATTTTGTAGCTCTTTCCTTATCATTCTCTCTTTCTCTCTCTCTTTCTCTCCCTCTATCTTTTCTCTTTCTTTCTTTCTCTTTTGCTCTTCACTCATCCTCTTTTCCGAGAATCTCAACTCTTATATGTGCCCTAACGAACTCACCATTTCTGTTGTGCGACTCTTCAGGCTCTAGACTTCAGACAGACACAAACTCGACGAATTTCTAAGCAGACTACTCCTATTGTCATCTCCTCTCTAGCTCTTTCTATCTTTTTCTTTCTTATTGTGACTTCTCAGGCTGGGAGTAACGCTTAATTCGGTAGTTTTCTTCTATAAGACGAGTGCGCGGATCGAGCTTAAATATTTTAAACGTGAGCGTCTGCCGGGTCGTCCTTGTTGCTTTTAGCTTTTATTTTAACGAGAAGGAGGGATCGTCAGCGACCCTTCTACCTCGATCTTAATCAAGCTCCTTGGTAAGGTACAACGACCGGGAACATTGACTAGACGTTGATTCTTTCTTTTATATTTCAATTTGCTTTTTTAAAATAAAATATTTAAATTTACTTTTTTTAATAAGTTTGTTCATTAAAAGTATCTTATTATTAAATAGAAAAAAGCATATCCTTTCGAGATAATATTAAATTTAAATATACGATATAATGTAAAATAAGAAAAACAAATTATAAATTATTAAATAGTGTGTGTACGGTTTACTATAATATTTAATTTTAATTTGAAATACTATAAAATGTAATGTCAAAAATAATACGCGAAGAAATAAAATTGTTTAGAAAAAGTGCATGATCTTTATATATCGTTCGAAACGCAATCTCGAAATGCAACTTGCGACTTCACGCTCGTGAATACGTCGGTTCTTCGTGTTTCTGACATTTGCTGGAAAGGAGATGTGAATGGACGAGAGAAAAGGAACATGAGTAAAACGTTAGAACGAATAAAGTGAGAAAAGGGTGAGTAAAATGTTGCCTGAAATTCACTCGTTATCGCATAGACCATTATTTATTCCCCGTGGTGCGATACGCGTTCTATTTCTATTCAAAGATTTTCTTTTTAGCTATACATATAGGCGATTAGAAGTGGAACGGAACAGATCATTCTTCTCAAATAAAGGATTTATTCAAAGAATACCAGAACTGATATGATAAAATATCGGTTTTAATCGACATTATTTAGAGATGATATATTTCCTATAATTAATAATCGATAATTGACTTTCAGATAATTGAATATATTATATTTTTATTACTCTATATTAACGTTTCCTACCTAGAAAAAATATTTCTTTCTTAATACTTTTTTTATATATATTACTGCAATAAAAGTTAACATTCGCTTACTACAAAAACACACATTTATCCAATTAATCCAATTAATCTTTAATTTAATTAAACTTCTATGTTTATTGCATTTATACAGAATAAGTTGAATGCAATCTTAGTTATTTATACATAAGACAGAAAAAAAAACGAAGAATGAAATTCACTTTTCACATATTAGAGGAAAAAGATAAATATCGAGTAACACATTTTGCAGTATAATTACTAATTACTCCAAGTACCATAATAGGATTACCTTGAACATAACGTTCAAGGAGATTCTTAAAGACTACTTAATTTCACGTTAGGAAGACTTTGAAATAGCGCAGAACTGAGTCTTCGGAGATTTTTCCAAAAAATTCGGAGTTCTTTCAGAAAGTATAAGAATAAATTCACGAGGAACAACAGACTAGGAAAGAGAAGAGTAAAAGAAGTAAAGATGAAGAGAAAAAAGAAAGTTCTTTGATAAAGCAGAAATTGCTTGGAAGTTTGGAACTTCTCAAAAAAAGAAACCACACATCGAAAAGTGACAAATTAATGAGACAAATTTTGACATTGAAATATAGGCAAACTTTAAAAAGTAACGAGACTACGCGAATCTCGATTATAAAAATCATTTAGAACGATAATATATAATCATTTCTTTGTTAGTATTAAATAAGCATGTATTTTCGTAAATAATCAAAAAAAAACCTTCTTACATCATCCATAATCTTCACGAAAACATAATCTTCTTAAATTAACATATTAACTATTATTATACTATTAATAACTTTTTTTAGATTAAAAAAATAATAGAATCATTATTTCAGACTTGAAATATTATAGATAAGTATACTTAAGAAGGACATTTTCTAAACGTTTCAAATGAAACTGTCGCAATTAACTAATAAAAATATTTAATGTATTTTTGTAAAAAAAAAAAAAATAATATTCCATTTCCATTTTTAATCTTCTCATTTATATTATATACGTGATTAAATTATCATAACAAAATTGATAGATTCGATTATCAAAGGATTATAATCATTCGTCGGTAACATTAGATTGAGATGAAAGCGAAGTGTGCATTTCACGACAAATGTGCATGCTTTGCGACCTTATTCCCATGATTAAACACAGAAATTTCGTCTGTTATGCGCATGCAGCCCAGTTGGAAGCCGCGAGGCATTTTCAGGGTGAGTACTAGTTGGCGTGCCTCGAGTGCTTGTACCGTAAGGGCGCTTCTATCCTAAATCTATGCTACAGATATGCCGTTTATTTAATAAGACATGCGCGTAATTAAGATAACATTGTAGCGAAAATGATACTATATTATTACGAACCTTCAAGAATAAATTGAAGCGTTTGTCCTCGCGTCTACACGATGTTTTCCTTCGTTAAAACGTATATCAAAGATTAAGTTGTTCTCAGCAGCGACCTCTTGGGATGTTACATTTATATCATATTAATCTTTCTAGAAATTCATTAAACAATCTAACAAAGATACTAAATCATTTTTATATATTTGATTCTTTGTTTAAACTATACGCCTAAATTTTTATGCTTTATACAAAACATTTAAACAGGAACACCTGTATGTCTTATGTTGTTTAATTAAAGTTTAACATTTATCTATCTTGTATCTTTATTTAAAAAACTTCGAATTTTTTAGTAAAAATACTATCATATATATATATATATTAGTGAGATAATTGGTATATAAAAGCCATTTAAAAGCAGGCAATTCAAGTGTTTCTATTTAAATGTTCCACCCTGTATAAGTATAAAATAAAAGAAACTATAGGTTTTTATCAGTATATAAAATTAAATAAATAATTTTATATGGAAAAATGAAATTCAAAGATTCTTAGATAACATAACATAATTTAAATCATTTGATTTATTCTTTTGTATTAATTAAAATATCAAATATAGAACGAAAATTGTTTTATTTAGACCGAAGGTATCACAATGAGACCAGGTCTACCAGGACAAAAAGGTGAATCAGGAACACCTGGGAATCCTGGTCCTAAGGGAGAAGCAGGAATTCCTGGTGGAAAGGGTGTTAAAGGCGAGCCTGGTCACAAGGGTGGAAAAGGAGAACACGGAAAGGAAGGGCCAAGAGGAATACAAGGCTTTAAAGGAGAACCAGGTGCTCCAGGAGCTCCAGGACTTCCTGGTGCACCAGGAGAAAATGGAAGACCAGCCGAAAAAGGTGACAAGGGAGATTCTGGACCCGAAGGGAAACCAGGTCTACCTGGTCCACCAGGACCACCAGGAGCCAATACTCCAGGAGTTTTAAACGTTGGAGAAACAGGTGAACTTTCTCATAATTGATTCATTAAAATTCTTTAAAAAAATCCTTTAAATAAATTTTGTCTTGCTCTTATCTTATGCCCATAAAAAAATTCTCAAAAATAAGCTATTTTCCCTAGCATTAGAATGGTGCTATCCGTTCAGATTCAAATGAAATTTTGAATAATTATCAATAAGTTTTTAATAATAAAATTGATTAATTTATATTGATTTTAATGTGTAAAGACTATCGATAAAATTGCTAGAATATAATGAAATTTTAAAATATTCGCAAACATTGTTTTGTTCTCTGTGATCTATTTTACTTCCAACTCTTACTACACGATTATTCATCTATCAACAGCTGGGAAAATAACTTGATATAGTATTCGTTAACTAAATTCACCGAATGCAAATTCTACTAATTGTAAGCGTAAATAGTTCCGTACCACTATTTTACTACCAAATATCTTGAAACTCAACAAACTTCCTTCGTTTAAAATATTTTGTTTCTTATAATTAAAATGCAAGTCTTAATTGAAATACTTTCATTCATTCGTTTTATAGGATTGTACCGTTTTCAATTTTCCTTACATCTTCATCGTAATCTAGTATCTCTAACGATTAGAAAAGCAATTTGTAACAATTAATTCTTTAACTATTTTTATTAAAATATTGTCAATTTTTGATGAATGAAATATTTGTTAATACTTAACACGATATAGTTCACAGAATTGGTGCTAATGAAAAATCGATCGATAAGTAAAATAATAGGTTTAGTAATCATTATTTTTGTATAGTTATAACAATTCAAAACTAACTCTATCCATAAACTGATTTATGAAATTCGTGTAAAGGATTAGAAGAGAAGGGTGAAAAGGGTGAATCTGGGCCACGTGGTTACAAAGGCGATCAAGGAACTAAAGGCGAAAAAGGGGATAAAGGGGAATATGGACCAGCCGGTATACCGGGTGTAAACGGAATTCAAGGACCGCAAGGAGATAAAGGCGAACCCGGTAAGGACGGAGTTCCCGGAACTTCTGGAATTCCGGGTTTGAAAGGAGAAAGGGGTGAAAGGGGTCCTCCTGGTGTCACCGCTATCGCCAATTCCGGTGACTATATCACCATCAAAGGTGAAAAAGGTGCAGAAGGGAAAAGAGGAAGAAGAGGTCGTCCTGGACCACCAGGTCCTGTCGGACCACCCGGAAAACCAGGAGTAATGGGAGAAATTGGTCTACCAGGATGGATGGTAAGAATATAATACATATTTCTTGCAGAATCGTTTGATTTATGTCTACTTAAATAAATTATTTGTTTCATATTTTAAATTATAATATCCAATAAATGCACGCGTATTTTACTTTTAATGCTGCATGAAGAATACAAAGGTAAGAAGAAAATAAAAAAGAAAGAAATGAAAAATATCAAATATAAATTTATTCTAAGAGTAGATATGATTCGTGTTTATTCGAGTTTCCATAATTATAACTTGTTTTACGAATTTGTATAGGGTCGTCCTGGATCACCAGGAGGTCCTGGCCCAACTGGACCGAAAGGACAGAAAGGAGAACAAGGAGTTAGTGTCAGATTCTTAAATTAAAATTTTGAAATATAAAAAAGATAAAATACTCACACATATACGACATCGTTTATTATAGATGATAGGTGAGAAAGGAGATGATGGAATGCCAGGAATTCCCGGACAACATGGAAGAGACGGACAACGAGGACCTCCGGGACCACCAGGACCACCTGGCCCAGCTTCTCAAGGAAACTACATTCCTGTACCAGGACCTCCAGGTCCCCCAGGACCACCAGGACCACCAGGACTCTCTTTGATAGGACAAAAAGGTGAACCAGGAATTGGCAGAAGTCACATTTTCGGAAAGGAAGATTATTATGGAATAAGACAAGGTAAAATATCATGCATAATTAAAAATAACAAAATAGCATCGGCGTACAAGTAATAACGTTTGTAGAAATATGTATTTCCCACGAGAACATTTTCTAATAATTTAAATATAAATTTGCTTACGTACATACCGCAAGGACCCAGAAGCAGTTTGGACGAATTAAAGGCACTTCGCGAGTTAAAGCAGCTGAAAGAATTAAAGGAACATTTAGGTATTCCGATAACATTTTTTGTATTAAAAATGAAGAAAGAATTTATAAAATCTTTGTTAGGAGTTTAATTCTAAATTATATAAATAAGGTTAATTATTATCAGTAAACTAATATCGTTTTATCAAGGTACTGCTACTGTTGCTACAAGAGGTCCTTTGGAAAGTACAACAAAAATAGTTCCAGGAGCAGTAACGTTTCAAAATACGGAAGCTATGACAAAGGTAATGACACTATTATCCTGTTTATATTAAAGTAATATTTTTCGAAAATCCCTCTCTATGTATCAACAGCTTTTTCTTCGATATTTTAGATGTCTAGTGTCAGTCCTGTTGGAACTTTGGCATATATCATAGACGAACAAGCCTTGCTTGTAAGAGTTAACAATGGATGGCAATACATAGCGGTTAGTTAATATAACAATTTGAAATATGTATTCGATAGCGTTACATACTTATCATGTATCCTTTAGCTCGGTTCACTTCTTCCAATAACAACCCCTGCGCCACCAACAACGGCACCACCTCCGGCAAATCCACCTTTCGAAGCTTCAAACCTGATAAATCAGATACCAGTGAAGGCTGACGGTACAGGAGTAAGTTATCCTTATTTCATATTTTTCGTAGCAAAATCTAAATAAATTTATTCGATGTTAAAGTCAAAATAATATTTTCTTTTTGTTATCAAGTGGTATCCTAAAATGGTAAGATGAATTATATCATTATTTAAAATATATTATAAATAATTAATATCATTATTGTATAGATATACATATAGAATTGCAATGTTATATACATTTCATAATTTTTAGTTAAGAATGGCAGCATTAAATGAGCCGTTTACTGGTGACATGCATGGTGTAAGAGGTGCAGATTACGCTTGCTATCGTCAAGCAAAAAGAGCAGGTTTAAGAGGTACCTTCCGTGCATTCCTAAGCTCTAGAGTGCAAAACGTTGACAGCATCGTCAGACTTGGAGATCGTGATCTTCCAATCGTTAACATCAAGGTAAATCCAGCAACAATAAAAAATCTATTATATTACTATTGTAGAATATTATATAGATAATTAAACGTATATCCAATATACATATATTCCCGTTTTCGCGAAAATGATAATATTTTTTTTAATTAAGTTGAAATTATCATTGTATAATTGAATAATATTGGTAATATTAAGGAAAAGTAACAGTAAACTCGTCCTCGATCGTCCTATTTTAATTGTCTGTTTGACGCGTTTACTTTCCGTCGTGTCTTTCGTCTATGATTCGGTTATCTTCTCTCCTTTTCTACACCTCTTTATTTTTTCTATTCTTCTATCGTCTATTCGTCTATACTCTTCTAAATTCTTTTACTTTCGTCTAACATCTACTTCTACCGTTAAATTCGATTCTGATCGTCTAAAAACTATCGTTGACTACAACTTCCTTTTCCTTTTGTCGCCCAGCGTCTAATATCTTTTGTCGTCATTTCTTTAAGTTACGTGATCTTTCACGAACCAGTCATGCATCAATTAACAAATCAATTGCACGCATATGCACATCAATCCTCTTTTTCACACACTTATTCGTCTCGACATTTTCATCATTTTGTATTATTAAAACAATAAATAAAAAAATGATTTGAACATTTCCAGGGTGACGTTCTTTTCAATTCGTGGAAGGAAATGTTCAATGGCAATGGAGCCTACTTTTCCCAAAATCCTAGAATCTATAGTTTTAATGGGAAAAATATTCTCACTGACTTTGCCTGGTAAGTAGGAGTAATTTTATAAATAACAGTGATTAATGCTATACAAAATTAAGATTATTATTAATCAATTGCATTTATTCTCAATAATTGTTTATTTTATAATTATGTTTACGTAAATGTTAAGGACGGTACTTGCCAAGCTTCGTCGATAATGCTACTTGCAAGCGTTATCTATCAGGGAGAAATCTTTTTTAACCCTGTTGATAAACAAGATTTTATTCAAGCAAAATTAGAGGAAGGATTCATTTAATAAGAATAATACTTTCAGATGTCACATCCGGTGTTAATGATACCGACTTATATTCATTATCGATATATCACCTAATGAAACTAGGTGCCACATTTAAGTAATTATAGAAAATGAATGATTAATAATAATCTTTAATCAAACAATGAATATGTAATTTTTATCATCAAAATCTTATAAGATCGAACTCTATATTTTATCTTCTTAATTAAATAAAAATTGTATTATAAATTATATATTATTTTAGGCCGGAAAAAGTAGCATGGCATGGTTCCCACAAACTGGGAGACCGAGCGATGGACACTTACTGCGATGCCTGGCATTCTAGTAGCTCTGATCGTTACGGATTAGGATCACCTCTTACAGGAGGTCGACTTTTGGAGCAAATTCGTTATTCTTGCGATAACAAGTTTGCCCTACTTTGCATAGAAGTAACCAGCGAAGCTACGAGGAGACGAAGAAGCAGTCCTTCTGCAGAAGATGAAGTAGAAATGACAGAGAGCGAGTATAAAAGACACTTGGAAGCATTAATGAAAAATTGAAGGCTCTTGTTAAATATAAATATTTACAAACCGTTATGTAAATAGAAATCGAGATGTATTGACCGTAAATATTACTGAATCGAATAAACGAAAAAATATAGCTTTATTCGTGTTAAAAGAAAAAAATAACACGAGTGACATACCAAAAACAAAAACGTTACATTGAACATAAACGAATTGTGAAAAGAATGGAAACGGTCGTTTCATCTCGTTTCTCTTATCTTGGAATGCTACTATCCTCTACTTCCAAAGTTATAACTCATAAGCAAAGCCCTTATTATCGCTTCAAAGAAGTTTCTGTTTATCTCTTAAAAAGAAGACTGATCGTCTAGACATACTACGTTTGTCAACGTTTCATATCGATCATCATACCGTAATATTAATGAAAACGTCAAATTGAGCGGATAAGTTTTGAAAAAAAAAAAAATTAAAAAAAAGAATCTCATAGCTTTCAGTATCTCAAAGCGTCTTCTATCTCGTGCGAATAATTTAAGCGTTCCCTTGAAAATTTATCTACATCCAGCGCTAAACTTCCTTCTCTTTGCTTAACGTCCTAATAAGAGAGGAAGACTCCGAATAGGAGAATTTCTAAGGCACGCACGAATAACGATTTGATGTTTAGATCGTAAACTACTGCTCTTTAAAAACCTAAATAAATCTAAACGGAGATCATATCCGCGCATCGAGACGCGTTTACATTTTAGCTGATACATATGAGTGTGTATGTTAGATGTAAGAAAAACATCGATTAAGAATTCTATATGACGAGTCGCTGTTCGTTTCAAATGAAGACAAGATTTATGCTCTACGCGATATGCAAGTTACATTAGTTGTCTTATGATCGTATAGTGTTGTTTTCTGATCGAGAACTATGCGAGTTAATGGTTTCATACGAATCGCCAAAACTTCGTAAAACTGCCCTATTAACGAATAACAATATCTTCATAAATTTATTTGAGAAGATTACTCGTCCACTTTGTATTCTCTTCTCTTTCAGGAAACGAACATTTCTTCCATCTTGTCATTACTGCTTTACATCACGAGCATGAATCGAATCAATGTTGTCTGTAACTTGAGAATATATTACAATTAACATTAACCTAATTTATTACAGTTATGTAGAGAAAAAGAAAAAAAAACCGTTATGAATCTATATATTTAGGTTGTCAACATGCTTGTCGGCGAATACAACGTAAATAAATGGAACTTTCTAATGTAATTTAGATCGCGGCGCCCAAAAAAAAACAATATGTATAACTAATTATCTTTCAGTATAGTTTGCACTGACATTTTATTTTCAAATTTTATATTATTTGTACACTTTATTATATCATCTTTCTAAATAAAAGCAGAAAGTGCATTTTTTACACCTCCAATCATTCACCCTTATATATATGTAGTAACTCATTGACGTGACTCCACGATAAAAATTATTTATTTATTTATCAGTCGTCACATAATTGTATTTTATTCTATTGTATATTACAATATTAGACTTAACTAAATATTAATTYGATTTATACAAAATTAAAAAATTATCTTTTAAGTCTTTAAAATGCTCGCTGCTTCTGTATACTTTAGTCCTTCGAGAATATAAATTAAATTTTCAACAGATGCATCCTCATCCTCTTCTGCCCAAATTTCTAACATATTTTTACATTGTTCATATGGAGTTGGTTTGCTTTGGAAAAATGCAATCTGCAAAAATTATAAATTGTATAAAACATAAAATTCTAATTCTATTTTATTATGAACCAAATAAGAAAATAGAAAATTACTTCGTCATTAGTATAACCTAATTTAATTGCTAATTTTTTCCAATCTCCTTTAAGCAATTCTGATAATTTTGCTACCATTTCGGGTATAACTTTGTTTAGTTTATTTTCTATTCCTTTTGCATCAGCATTTTCATTATCAGTTTGATCGCTTTCTTGCTTTAATACCTCTGTATATTCTTGATCATTAGAATCAGGTGGGGGAGTATCTTCTGTTTCCACCTTTACATCGGATTGAGCTTGCTGTAATTGTAATTATATACTTATAGTTATGTTTTTAAAGAAAATATTGTATTTCTAGGAAAACATTGAAATTGATATAAACACTCACTGGTCGATCTTTAGCAATCTTTTTAATCATAGTTTCCAGATATTCTGGAAGTCTATTTATTGGATAATTTCCATGGACAAAAAAGTGTGGACTTCTTCTAGCCAATAACCTCAATGCTCTCCATCCAAAATTACCATCATTTACTTTCCTACGAAAATATAACATTATAGTTAAATATTAAATATTCGATATTGTTATTTTTTACAAAGAAAGCGTATCTTACTTATATTCTTCTTCCACCATGGCACTCGGATCTAATTGCATTATAGCTTCTTCGAAATATGTCTCTAATGATGGAAGAAAATCTCTATCTTTTGATTTGCATGCCTCTAAGTTATTTGGACAAAGATTCCATAGTTTAGTAAGCTCCGGACTATAAAAGATGAACTAATGTTATATATTTTTTGCTAACATAATTTTAAATAATATATTTTACACGATAGCGAAAAATAAAATGACTTACTTTCCCATATGATATTTGCCAACAGTTTGAGCATCTTTGATAATTTCACCAATTCTTCTTTTCGATCTTTTAATTTTTTTTACATCGTCATCAGTTTCTGTAGTGATTTCAGTTGCAGGCCTTTTAAAAGGTGGACAACCCTCATTTTTCCACGAATTCCAGTGCTCTTCTCTTTTAAGAATATTTTTTACAGTTTCTGTAAAATATGGACCATCAGGTGGTGTCTCTGTTAACAAGGTATAAACTTGTTCCGTTGTTGCTTTAACCCATTCCACTTGATCTGGCTTCAATTCATGCGTCTCGCTTAAATATGAAACATATCATTGAGATACAGTGAAGTAAAAATCATAATGTTGAATTTAATAAAAGCAGACCTTCTCTCATAGCCACTGGCAAGGAAGCTTTGGAAAACAAAGATCGTTTTATGACTTTCTAAAGCTTTTACTAAATGCTTAAGAGAACTTTACTACGTTATTATGACTTTAGATATTTTCAAAATCAAATATTAAGGAATTATCTTATACAAATTTCTACTTACGCCTTAAATTTAACAGTGCTATTTAAATACTGGAAAAGTATCAAAAATTGCAACAGTAGGAATCTTCTAAAATTAGAATCAGAAAGTTGCAATTCCAGCAATTTCTGATTAGTAAGATATTTTGCGAAGTAATGAGTTTCTTTATGGGAATCTTCCATCGCAGAATCTAATTTCACACAAATAGTTGGATAACTACGTTGTTCTTCTAATTTGAATGAAGAGAATGCTGATAAGACATTAGATGCGTGCTATAAAAAAGAAGAAAATAATAAAATGTTAATAAAAAAAAAAATTCAATTTTATAAATTCAATTAATAATATCATAATGGATCTATTTACCGCTGAGAAGACTTTCCAATGCATTTTATTATAGCATTGATTAGGATTTCTAAAAAAATCTTGCAAAGCCCAAAACTTTCTGTACAAACTATAATCTATGGGTATTTTATTTTCAGTTTTATCTTCATCTTTTATTATTGGTTCCAAAACATCTTCTGCTTTTTCAGTGCCAAATTCTGTTAGATTTTCTAAGTTAAATTCACTAACAATGTTAAGTCCAGATCTCTCTGAGAATGGAAAGAACTTTGCAAGAAATAATAGAATTCTACCACAAAATACAGTTTGCTGAGAACGAGACAAGCGTCTAAGCAAATCATTACACATTCTTAATAAATTATTTTTACAAAGACTAAAAAAGAGATCTTCTTTCCAAACTACCACATTATTTTCAACGTATGTGAAGAGCTCTTCACATTTATCCAATGTCATTGAATCAAATATGTCTCCAAGTAACATGACTGGCATACTACCAGTCGCTAAATCTTTTCTACATAATTCAATACAAAATGTGATATAAGATTCAAGAGGTTTAACACTTTCAGATGTCTTATGTATCAATATATGAAGTAATGTATCTCTGAGAGCTTGATCTACAGCAAATTTTCGTTCAGTATCATTAGCACACTGTTCAATACATTTCCTTTGAAATGTAGTCACATCATTTATCTTGTAACATTGTTGCAAATAATCCTACAAATAAACATAACAATTTTTATTCTATAAACATGTATTGCACTCGTGGTAAAATCATTTAAAACGATACTTACGCTGTAGTCTTTTCTCAATATTTCGAACATAGCCATAATGCCAGATTTTTTTAGTTATATTACACATAAAACTTTATTTTCTTGTTTATTTTTTATGTCAACAAAACACTGTATGATATCATTGAGAAAAACTAAATTCTTATAAAAATATAAAAATATTATATATACTATACACAGAAGGAACGACCAATTTCATTTCAATGTTTAGATATGGAAGTGTTGCTTCGGGTTAACCTGTACCATCTCAACTACTTCCTGATAGTGACGACAGGCGGCAGCACGGACACCAACCAGCGTGTGGTGCTCAACGATACTTCCTGTTAGGGATGTGTCTTCAAAGTTCTATTCAATTAAAAAAATTAAAGTATACATATATTATTATGGAGGGTAGAGGTAAGGAGTAAAATCTTTTATGGAAGAAAATGTGAAAAAGTGTCCAGCGTTTTCTGTCAATAACAGTTCAAAAACCTTCCAGAATGGCGCTGATGTAGACACTTGGTATGGTATGAATGTAGCAATTGTAAATGTATTGTAATTGTTTATTTCTCAATGCTACTCTAATAATATTTGGCGCTTTCTTTAAAATTTACCATGATGCTAATGTGGCGCCACCTCAATTGATTCGATTTCGACGGACACTTTTCATATACAGAGATGTTACTCCAGGATGTATATGTATAAATATTCTTACTATTTTGTTTTTGTTTTATTTTATGTATTATTAATTTAATAATTTGCTAGTTAATTTACTTTTGTATAGTTTTGTCCACTATTTTGCTTCTTTTTATCATTCTTTGAAAATATATATTAAATTCGCTAAATATTACAACTTTAATTGTCTTGTAACTTAAATTTTTAATTAATAATTATTATAATAAATAATTATAAAATAAAAGCTATCAACAGGTCAGTAAAACTAAAATATATTACCAAATAATACAGAAGTAAATAGAAGCTCACAAATCCACGTTTTTTCTTACCAGATTCATCTTAATTACTACCGTAACCACCAGTGGGCGATAGTAGATACTTAACGCGATAACGCTATAATACTATCAATGTATGGTGCAATATTATATACTATCAAAGAATACTACTACTATACTATTATATATACGGTATATTTTGTTGAATAAAAAGGAGCAGTGCGATCGCGACGATCGGCATTACTCGCAGGATAAATGAACGAAGCGAATGAAATATCGCGTTGTATGACACAATCCAACACAAATTTTGAACCCAAATCCCTGACACTAAAATGGTTAAATAGAAGATATAAGATGGAATTTAAAACAACGGAGAATTATAATTACAGAATCTTATCACTTATTTTTCTTGTTAATAATGTGTTGCATTAATCAGAGTTTGCATTGATTTTTATTTTTTAAATTGCCAAAATATAATTTTATGCATACAGGGTTATCGTATTTTAATTTTTTCAACTTATGCGTAGAAATATTATAATATTAAATTTCTTTATGAAAACAAAAGAGTTATGAACAATTTTTGCAACAAATTAACCAAATATGCAGAAAATCGTTTCAAATTGCTGATTCGCCCGAGCGAAAAATATCTCAAGTGCAAAGGGTTAACAATATACTATACTCAATAATTTAGATTCATTCATATTTACTAAAGAAAAATTAGAATTCAATACTTCGTAGAGTATCCAGAATTACGTATTATTGAAATTATCTACTTTGAAAATCATTTAAAAAGTTTTTGTTTCTTTTCTCAATTTCTCAATGGGTTGTTAGTCATCATTACGGACCGCACGTTGCATCCAGGTGGTCGGAAGATTCCTAAGTTTTTACAAAAACAATGAAAGATTGGTGAAAATCTGGTAAACTTGGTAAACTTAATCCCTATTGAGTCATATGCCTAATGTTTTTACGAACAAAATATAAAGCAAAATGAAATAACAAAAATGTACGCAGAAAATCGATTTAGATTTCAGATTATTAGAAATTTCTTGTTTCTTTTTATTAAAATTTAATAATTAAAATTTTCACTCTAAAATTAATTTTTAACTTTCGTTTAACTTTTACTTTTTATTGAAAAGTAATCTAAAAAAAATTGTCTTCATTCATGTAGAAAATCGAAAAATAAAAAAATAATACATGACATACAAAATCATTTATTCATATAAAAGGACACTTTACACTAGCACGTACTGTGAAAACTAACCTAACATATCCGTACAGTTGGAAATATTCGAAATATTCACGGCTCGATTGTTTTCTTCATTTATCACATACATATTATAATTATACGCAGCAGGATGACAGTAGTTTATACTGCAAAGAAAGGGACAATTGTCATTAGCGATCACACAATGGAATATAATAAATTTTCGAGAATTTTATCAAGATATTGAGTATACATATTGGTGTACTGAGTATCGCGTTTATTTTTTATGCTTAGAGTAATCATTTTTAGTCTGCTAAAATTCATTTTATTTACGTGAAAGTATAATGAAGCATATTGTTCAAATTAGCAATTAACGCCAAAAATTTTAGAAAAATATAAAACTTCTCTATAACATTAAAACTATTTTATACAGCATGTAAGTAGAAAAACGTGTAATAACATCTAATTTTACACAAGCAGACATAAATTGGTCAGTCTGTATACAAATATTATATTATTTTTATGTGTACATTTACTGTGTATATAAAGCCGGCTAGGTCACGATGGAGGAAGAGCGTTGTTTTTGACGATAATGAGTCATTAAATCTTTTAGCCAGCCATCAAAGCTGTATAATTAATTATGTATACAGTCTAAGTATTCGCCGTAGTCATATGCCTTATATTATAATTATGTGTATATTATCATTAGCTTATCATATATTCGATACTCATTATACTTTCAGTATATTATCGCTATGAATGCGAAAAATGTCAAGATAAATACTAGGCTAGAATAATCGCTAAGAAAGTTGGCTTGGACAAAATTTATTTGACTTCCACGAATATCAAGTTACAATCGAAGTGGCAATGCATTCAAATCGTTAACTCGATATGCATGGTAGTATCTCGTAAATTATTTAGTATTAAAATAAGATAAAGTATACCTCAAAATGATATGAATTGATTATCAATCCTTTCACAATATGCTAATAGTTAATTCGGTAATCGAAAATGGAAATTAAAGCTGGGTATTTTATTCGTATTTGAATTTGTTTGTGGAAACTGGATTTTGATGTAATCGAAAATGAAATGATATCTATTGAAAAATGTTCGGGCATTTTTATTATACTAAATACAGATAAATGAATGTTTTAGATAGCTTCGAATAACTATGGTATTGCAACTTTCTTTCTTCCTTTTTTTCTTTTCCTTTTCCTTTACAGAGTCACTACTTGTACGGTTTATAGTTGTTTTTCTCACTTAGCAAGTGTGTCTCGTGCGAAAGAAACTTTCCGTAAAATGAAAGCGTTCTAAACGTCTATCGATAGCTTTTTCTTGTTCTGTAATAATGACGTTAGTCAATATGGCCATTTATATCACGTATGAGCTATCGTAGAAGCTCTATGAATACGCTGTCGATGTTTGTTGCATTGTTTGATTTCAACAGAGAGATTCGTTTACGTATAAAAAAGCTTTCATAAAAGTCTTTCGCTAGACGCTTTTCCCCCATTCCTATTTTGTTTTTTTTTTTTCGTTTTTTTTTTTATTTTTTATTTTTCTTTTCATTATTTCTTTTCAAGAGACGAACTTAATCGATAAACGAGTACAAGTACTATGAGCTATTTTCATGCCAGTAAGATGGGATACCGACTTATAGTCGTTAATTATAATTATCAGTATAAATATAGACAGTATACGCAGTATTTATGCGACGATATAGCGTTTTTCTTCTATTATTATACGATAACCAGCGTTCCGAAGTCTCAAAGCATGACGATTATATCGTTCTCGTATACCATCGATTTCTTATTGCCAGTTATTGGCCAGTTATTAAAGAGGAATAAGTAATTGACTTGATTCTTCCTCGTAAAACGGAGGAACGATATTATGATAGAATGAGATAACCGTGGCCTTACTTTCAAGAGACATAAGTATGTTTCTCGCATAAAATAAACTTTGTTCTCACGCGACACTTTGAGACTGGAGAACAATGGGAGATCATCTCGCCATAGAGGAGTATTAATTATAGTTTCGTACAAAGGTGTAGAACATTGTGTTATAGTTAAATATTAAAAGAATTATAGTGTATATAAAGAATCATATAAATGTATATATGTATATATGCATATATATATGTATATATTATATGTATATACTATACATATATATATATATATATATGTATATATATGTATATATATATATGTATAATGCCAGCTCGCCGGAGAAGCAAATCTTCAATCGGTCCTCCGCGCGAGCTGCTTGTTTAAGCTTTGAGTTTGCACGTAACTTCCGTCTACCTTTTGTGCGCTATTTTTTCCATTTTTTTATTATTTAATATACATATATACACATATACATATACACGCGTGTATGTATATATATATATGTACCAACTGATCACACACACACGCACGTATCTGCACGCACAATAGGATACGTAAGAAAATGGCACCGTTCTTTCGAATCTTTACTTTTTTCATTATTTTCTTTCTTTTTTACAAGATAAGAAATTTTCACTTTGTTTTTTTAATATATAAAGATTATTTTTTTTTATAAGTGCCATTTCCAGCGTATTCAAATGTTCGTAGACGTTCGCATACATGAGTATATGTGGACCAATCATTTGAGCACGACACGCGGCAGCCAAAACTCGATAAAGATTTTTTCATCGATCGCGAATAGTTCACACCATCTTTAATCGCTAAAGTTTTAACTTCTTACAATGGTATTACAAGAGCGACGTGCGCGGCAAAAAAACGTTTAACGCTTATATTTTCGATTTTTCGATCTCACGCGGACGAATCGTACGAGGAATATTATGCCCTGTGCGACTATGTGTATAAAAGTGATTACGACTTTGCTTTCGAACGTATTCATTAGTTAAAAACGAATTGAGAGCATAAAAAAATATTCATCTTACGATTCCAGTGTATATTATAAAGTCACTGTACGAAGTTCGTTTATTCAAATTAAAAATATTCTGTTTCTTCTATTCGTTCACCGCTAGTACCCTAACATCAATTGATGTTGTTAGAATTCTTCGGAGAATGATGCTAATGATTTTCACTAATGTTGCTGTTCCGCAGTTGCCCCGCTATAAATGAAAATAATGTCGCTCTCGACGACACTGACGAAGGCACAGTCGTAAATTTTAATGGTTTTTTCTATTTTTTTTTTTTCTCTTTCTTAAGTAATTTTTGTTTTACGATTTTTTTTCTCCTTTCTTTTTTTTTTTTTGTAAGAAATGGCAGGAGACGTAGAATGAAATATGAGTATGGAACCAACACGAAAGTGGTGTTTCTTAAAATATTATCCTTTTCCTTTATCCAGTTTTTCCCTGTTTCGTTGAAACTTCCTCCTTCGTGAGTACATTTTTCATCCGCCACGTTTTTGGCACCGGAAACGCGCCTCACTACGTTAATTAAAATCCTCTATTTGTCCTTTTTGACTTCATCCCATCTGCTCTTGTCTGTCTTTCATTTCTCTTTTTGCTTTTTTTTTTATATATATATTTATATATATATAACATAATATAATATTATTATATAATATAAATGTTTACGTTTTGGCCACTCGGTTCGTGAACGTCGAAGCACGTTATTGTCTGTGTTCTGCGACGTTTAGGTATATTTTAGTTTAGAATAATTTTAATTCACTTTTATACAACACTTTCTTCATGGCTCCCTCGTATTCGTTTCTTCGTCGGGATAGATCCAGGGGACCATTACGAACGGCTCATCTCCTTCTCCTGGCTGTAGCCGCAGCTATCATTTGCCTCAACATTGGTTCCGGAGAACATACTCGTGGGTCGCACTTCATGTTGCCGTCACCTCCGCAACTGAAAAATAAAATAGGAAAGATAAATCAATAAAAGTTTAGAAAAACATTGATTATAAATGTTTGTTTAATAATACTTACGTGCAATGAAGGCATGGACCGGACGCAGATTTAATTGTTTCGCCTACGCTATATGCTTGACCACGAATTTGACATCCGTTTCGTTTCGCAGCACCTTTGTAGGCGTGCGTTAAAAAGTGTGGGGGTAATGTCGTCGTAGTTGTAGTTGTAGTTGTGGTAATGTTAAGAGACGTAGCCATCGATACGGGACACTCGTATCGAGGACAACAGAAACCACTGATAGGTTCCTCGTGACATCCTGGTATCGGTGGTGGACAACTTTGCTGGAGACAGATAATATCACTTCTAAAGCAGAAGCAGAAATCACATGGGTCATCTCTTGGTATTTGTTGAGCAGACATGTAAACTTTTCCACCATATCTACAAGTGCCTGGACCATAAATCGCCTGATCATCTTCATCGTAATCTTCATCAGGATTAAGGTAACTACCACCGTGCATAGGGAAGTGAGGATTATCTTCACCGGACACAGATGGTTCAGGATATTCTGCGCCTGTTTGAGGTGCTATAGTGCTAGTGCTTGTCACATGATGCTCCTCCAAAATTTGCTTGTCAGGTTCTTCAGCAGTTTCAGTGGTATGATTGACCGGTTGTAAATGTTCTTCACTCGATCCGATAGTTAACTGGCCCTCGGATTCATCTGTCTGTGGACTCTGTGAAGAAGATTCGAATTCAGTAATACCGACGTGTGGCTGTACTTCTTCTTGACCTTCTTCGTGATCTTTTTCTAAAATTTCTTCAGAAGTTTCAACTAATGATGCTTCAGTAGATATAGGCTGTAACTTTGTAACGAGTCCTTCGATTGGCAATTGTGTTGTCTCCGGTACTTTTTCTGGCAAAATTTCTGGTTCGTGTTGCTCTGTTACAACTGGTTCGTGCTGCTCTGTTACAACTGGTTCGTGTTGCTCTGTTACAACTGGTTCGTGNTGCTCTGTTACAACTGGTTCGTGTTGCTCTGTTACAACTGGTTCGTGCTGCTCTGTTACAACTGGTTCGTGCTGCTCTGTTACAACTGGCTCTCCTGTTATATTTTCTTCAGGTTCTTCCGTTATCGAGCTAAGACTTGTTGATATGTGTTCTTCTTCTGGAACAGTGGATTCCGTGATTTTTTCCTCACCCTTTTGTGCTTCTTCTGATTTAGTTATTGATTCTTCAGATACAGGCTCAGTTGTAGACTGCTCTTGAACCGAAATTTCGCTAGATACTTCTTCTGGTTGAAGTTTTGTCACTGCTGATTCTATTTCACCTTTGGAAGGAGCTTCTTCAGTAGTTACAGGTGCTTCTGTATGTTGAACTGTTTCAGTGTGTGTACTTGATATCGTTGTTGCTTTTTCTTCAAATATAGTATGATCTGTTACAGCGGTTTCTTCTGATGGTACTTGTTCTGTTATCAAAATACTTTCCGTACTTTCTGGTGTTTCTAATTTTTCTTCTTTGATTGGAGTTACAGAATGTTCTTCTGCTTCACCGACAGTTTGCTCTTCAATGGGACCTATCTGAATTGTTTCAGTCATTTCACTAACTTCAGAAATTTCAGTTGTCTGTTCTTTATGCACTTCTTCTTCATCTTTAGGCTTTTGTTCTTCAGCTTGCTCAACCTGTTCTGTTACATCAGATGTTGATTCTGGTCTTTCTGTGGAAGAAACTGTATCGCCAAGAGAAGCTTCTTCGACTGGATGCTGCTCTGTTGTTTCGCTTAGAGGTAAGGTAGGTTGTGCTTCGGTAATACTTGCAGAGGTTGTTGCTTCTGTTTCGAGAGGCTTCTGAGTGATCTCATGTTGTTGTTGGCCCTCTTCAACATGAGTTGTTGACATGCCTGGTGAAATAGTTTGTTCTTCTGGAATGGCGCTTTGACTTATTTCTTCAGTTGTTTTTTCTTCCGTTTGTTCTCTTTCAATTGGAATACTTTCACTAGTATTTTCTTTTCCCAATGTAGTGATTTCAGATACTTCCTCTTCTAGCGAAGAAGTTGATAGAGTTGTTTGTTCTTGTCCTTTAGTTGGTTCTTCCTCAAATTTGGTAGTCTGTTCTTCTATTGTCGTTACATGTTTTTCTATAGTAGCTGTAGTAAGATCAATCGAAGGCATACTCTGTTCTGTTATAGCAGCTTCGGTAGGTTCAGAAGCTTCCTTTTTCGTTGTAACTTCTAATGGTTTTTCTTCTTCCTGTGCTGACTCAGATTTCTCGGTTATTCCTTCATTTTCTTCATGTTTTTCAAACGTTGATGTTTGAGTTTCTACTGAAATTATTGATTCTGTAGTTTCTTCTATGGGAGGTACATAAGTTTCACTTTCTGCAGTAACACTAGGTTCGATAGGTCCTGCCTTTGTCGAAGTACTGCTTTCTGTTTCTTCTGATATTTCTGGTTTCGGTGTTTCTTCTGTATGTACAACTGCTTGTGTTTCGGATTCTATAGGAACATCAGTTTGATCTTTAGGTTGTTGTGTCGGTGTTTCGGTAGAGTCAAGAATAGATTTTGTAGTCTGCTCTAACGTTTTGTCTTTGTCTTCGTGTGAAATCTCACCTTCTGGAATTTCCGTAGAGTGACTGCTCTCACTAGTAGGTGTAGTTATTCTTTCGTCACTTGATACAGATTTACTTTCAGTTGTAGTTGCAGTTTCAGAAATATCGGTTTGTTCGTCTGTATTGAGTGATTGACTCTCCGTAGAAGTTTCTACAGTGGATTCTGATGTATTTATATTTGAAGTTTCGCTTTCAGTCTCTACTGTCTTATGTTCAATTGGCTTAGTTTCTATTTCTTCAGATACTTGAGGAGTTATTTCACTTGTTGTTATTAATTTATTAATATCTGTAGATTCTTGTTCAGCTGGACGTTCAGATGTTACTTCAGTTTGTTCTTCTGGCTTTTTCTCTTCAGTTGATTCTATTTCTGTTTCTGTTTGTCCTTCAATTTCTGTACTTTGTGTTATTTCTTCTTCAATAGCAGTAATGCCATGTTCAGTAGACGTGCTTACTTCTTGAACATCTCCCGGTTTTTCAGATTCTTCAAATTGTCCTTTTGTTACTTCATTAGATGGTTCAGAGACACTAGGTACGGAAGATTCGCTTATGGTTTCTTCCTGTTCAGTTGTTTCTTTTGGTAAAGTAGGTATAATTGTTTCCTGTTTCTCTTCAGGTATTTTTTCAGATTCTTCCACTGAAACAGTAGTTTCCGTTTCTACAGTAACAGGAGCTGATGTATGTGTTACAATTTCTGTATCATGTACATTTTCAACAGTGAAACTTGATGACTCTTTTTCTGTAGTTTGTTCTACAATTGATTCATCGGTAGAAGGAAGAAGTTTAACTATTCCTTTTTCTTGTTCAGTAACTTCCTCAATTTTTTGTGTAGTAGTTGATAATGTAGATACTGTAAATTGTTCATCTGGAGTTACGTCAGAAGTTTCTTTTGACGGAACTTCTTCTGATGTTTTATGTTCTTCAGTAATTGTGGATTCTTCACTAATAGATGTTATTGGTTTATCAGTTACCTGTTCTTCTACTGGTGGCATTTCTTTTCTTGTTTCACTTTCATTATCTGGTACAATATGTGGAGGTGGTACATGTTCTTGGCCTTCTTCTTCAACTGTATGATCGCTAGGTGCTGATGGAATCTCTGTAACCTTGGGGATTAAAGTTGTATGCTTTGGCTCTTCTTCTTCTTCATACTTCAGAGTTTGATGTTCAATTATATGATTGTCTGCTTCTAATTCCACTGTAGGAGTTGAGTCACATGTATATATTGGGCAACATGTAGATCCACTTGCATGTACTGGCATACAGTTAGACAGATGAGTTGGAGGTGGTGAACACTGCATAAGTTCACATTGTATGATACTACTTATGCATTGACAACTTAATTGACAAGGATTCACGGGAGGTATTGCCGAATTATTACTATAAGATTGCCCATCAACAAGACAATTACCTTCACCAGGTATATCTGGATGTGTAGGTTTGGATTCTTCTGATTCAGTTATTTCATTTGTTGGCATCACTTCTGTAACATTTGTAAACTCTTGTTCAGTTGAATGTTCAATCGGTTTTTTGGATGGTACCTCAGTTTCTGCCGATGATGGGGATGTTAATTCTACTGCAGTTGTTTCCTCTTCGTAAGGCGTAATTGTTGATTGTTTTTCATGTGTTTCGATAGGTTCTGTAGTTGCTTTCTCTTCGTCAATTTTTATTGTTGTTTCGTGAAGTTTTTCTTCCGTCTCAAGTATTTCTGACGTTTCTTTTACTGCTGGTACTTCCGTCGATGTCTCAACAGAACTGGGCAATTCATGTTTCTCCTCTTCACTTGGTTTTTCTTCAAAAATGCCTTTGGTGTGTTCTTCAGTGTCTTGTTCTTTGGTTGTTGTAAATGATTCAACAGCAGTCACAGCCTCGGTTGGTTCCACAGATGATTCTTCTGGTTGCGGCGTAGTTTCACTGACGTCACCAGATATTTTAATAGTACTTGAGATTTCTTTTGGTTCTTCAGAAATTGGTTCAATGGACGTAGACTCATCCTGCTGTATTGGAGTTTCAGTAGATAATTCTTTTGTCACTGAAATGATTTCTGTATGTTGTTCTTCTTCAGTTTGAGGTTTCGTTGGCACTTCCAATTCACTTACAGGATGTACTGTTTCGCTAATAAATTCAGTAGTTGATTCGCTTATTATAGGATGTTCGAAAGATTTTTCTGTTGTTTTATCTTCAGAAACATTTTGCTCAGCTGTTGAAATCACAGTAGATACTTCAGGTTGTTCAGTAATTGAAATTTGTGTTGTTATTTTCTCAGTAATAACCTTTGTCACTTCTTTTTCTTCTTCGACAGTAGCTTCAGTAGATATTTTTTCTTCAAAGGATGGCTTTTGAATTTCCTCTTCACCACCTTCGCTTATAGTTTCAGTTGATTGATTACTAAGATCTTCTGCACCTTTGCCTATTACAGTTGAAGTTTCTGTTACGTATTTGTCAGTAACGGAAGATTTAGTCTCCGTTTCTTCCTTTGATTCTTCTTCAGTGATTGATTTTTCGGTCATTTGTGTTTCTATTAATGTTCCCTCTGTAATTTCTTCTTCTTTTGTGGGTATCTTTTCAGATTTGTTCTCTTCTTCAGATATTTGAGTCGAAGTTTCTTCAGGAATAATAGTCGATTTATGTTCCGTTTCAACTAATGAAGGGATTTCTGTTGATTTTTCTGTTATGGAAGGTTCTTCTTCGATTATAGAAGGTACCGATGTCTGTACTTCCATTTGTTCAACATTTTCTGTTGGTTTGTTGTCTGGAATAACCGATTGTTCTGGAATGGTACTTTCAGTAATTTCAGGTACTTCAGGAATGTGTTTTTCTGTCGAGGCTTCTTCCGTTTTCTTTGTTGTACTTTCCTCACTCGGAGTTTCTGAAGCAATAGTTTCTTCTTCACTTACAGCAGTTTGTTCGGTTGTTTTCACCGTTTGCACTTCTTCTGGAGCTTCTGTTACAGGTACTTCAACTGAAGTATCTGTAACACTTGCAGTTTGTATTACACTTGGCTCACTTACTTCAGAAGTTTCTGTAGATTCTTTTTGTTCCGTTTCTTTGATAGTAACTTGTGTTTCTTCTGTACTAGACATTGTATGACCGCTTGTTGACTCTTGTTCAGAAATAGAACTTTCGGTCGAGATTTCTTCAGAAGATGGTTTATGTAATTTATCTTCGCTTTCACCTTCTTCTTCATTAAATTGTTCTTTTCCTGCTTCTTCACTGTCACTAGAGATGTCAGAAGTTTCTTCTTCCGAAGAAGTTTCTCCAGAATCTATTATAGTAAGACCTTTGGCTGGTAATTCTTCAACGGTAGTTATTTTTTCAGTCGATGGAACTTCAGGACTCAATGTGCCCGTGCTATAATCTTCAGGTACGATTGATTTTTCAGTATATTGAAGTTCTTCTTGTATAGTTTGTGATTCTGTAGGAATCTGAGGTTCACTAGTTTTAGTATCTGAAGAAACGGAAGTAATCTCAACAGCAGATACTTCTTCTTGACCAGATGTCACTTCGTGAAGAATAGGTTCTTCTGTTTTTATTTCAGTTGTTACTTTATTTTCTGCGTATTCAGTAGACGTCTCACTTTGAGGAATCAAATCTGTTTCAGACTTAAACACTTTCTCTGGAATTTCCGTTACAAGACTTTCAGGGACATGCATTTCTGGTTTCTTAGTATCAATGTTACTTTCTGAATAGATTTCCGGAATAGATTCCTTATCTTCTGCTTTATATCCTGGAGTAATTTCAGAAATTTCTTTGTCTTTTTCTGTTTCATGCTGTTCTTCGATAGCAGTCTGTTGATTAATTTCATCTTTAGATAGGCCAAAATCATCTTTTTTAGGAGCAAGAGGTGGGAGTTTATCTTTCAACCCTAATTCTGGTTCTGAAATTTCAGGATTTTTCTCTGTACCGGCTTCTGAAGATGGATATTGTTGTTCAGTTTCTTGAGCCTGTGGTAAATTGGTAGTAACTTCGGCAGGTTTAAGTTCTTCTGATTCGCTAACTTCAACAGATTTTTCAGATGTAACGAGTTTCACTTCTGAAGAAGGTGGTGTAGTTATTTCTTCAGTTGGAACTTCTTCTAGTTTTGATGTAGTAGTTTCTTCTGGTTTCGATGTAGCAGCTTCTTCTGGTTTCGATGTACTAGCTACTTCTGGTTTCGATGTACTAGCTTCCTCTGATTTCGATAAAGTAGCTTCTTCTGATTTCAATAAAGTAGCTTCTTCTGGTTTCAATGTAGTAGCTTCTTCTGGTTTCGATGGACTAGCTTCTTCTGGTGTCAATGTACTAGTTTCTTCTGGTTTCGATGCAATAGCTTCTTCTGATTTCGATGAAGTAGCTTCTTCTGGTTTTGGTGTAGCAGCTTCTTCTGGTTTCGATGTAGAAGCTTCTTCTGGTTTCAATGTAGAAGCTTCTTCTGGTTTCAATGTACTAGCTTCTTCTGGTTTCAATGCAATAGCTTCTTCTGATTTTGATGTAGTAGCTTCTTCTAGTTTTAATGTAGTAGCTTCTTCTGATTTTGATGTAGTAAATTCTTCTAGTTTTGATGTAGTGACTTCTTGCGGAACTCCGGTTTCTTTCGTCTCAAGAATTGCTTGTTCTTTGTTTTCAACTGGTTTAGTTTTTATACTTTCGTCTTGGTCAATTGTTTCCATAGTTTTCTCCGACACTTCTTCAGTAGATACTATTGTCTCGGTTGATTTTCCAGATTCTTCAATTGGTTCCTGAGCATCGGTCGTTTCTTTCGGTGGTACAGATTCATATGAACTCTCAGTATGTTCTTGTTCACTAATTGAAGATTCAGTTAATTCATCTGTTTTCACTAGACCTTCAGTCGTTATTGGTTGTTCTTCTTCAGTGACACTTTCTTTGGTACTTTCCGGTTGTTCAATTTCTTGTTCTGCCGTTGAAGTTTCTGTTTCTATGTTTAATCCTTCTACAGACGATTGGGATGTTGGGATGTTCTCGGTTACCGAAACCTCAGCTGGTTCTTGTTCACCTTCGAATGATTTAACGGACGAACTTTCTGATTGTTCTATAATAATAGGAACTTCAGTTTCTTTTCCAGTAACGGATGGTTCAGTTTTTTCAATGGTGGTAACGTTTTCGGTATTTTCTGGAACAAAAGATATTTCGGATGTGTCCGTATAGCTAGGCACTATAATCTTTTCTGTTGAAAGAGGCGTCTCAGTTTGTTCAATCGAAGTATGTTCTTCAGTTTCTTTTATCAAGGTAGGCGTCTCTGTTTTTTGATCCTGGTAAATTTGTGTTTCCTCAGTTGGCTTAATTTCTATACTAGGCACATCTACAGGAGTCGGTTTCGTTTCGTGTTCTCCGGGAATAGTTATTTCTTCTGAACCATGGGTCATTTCAGATTCAGGAATATCATTTTTCTCTGTTGCCTCCGCAGATTTATCAGCTTTAACAGGCTCTTCAGTTTGTTCTACTTTAATTTCATGATCTTGTGGAATTGCGTTGTCGGCACCAATGAATGATTCACTCGTAACTTCGTGTTCTTGCTTCTCTGCCGCTTCAATATTCTCCGGAATGGTTACCATTGGTTGTACTTGACTAATTTCAGAAGTTTGTTCCATACCTTCTGGTATGGTTATTATTCCTTTAAGACCATCGTCTTCTATAACAAAGTAATAGATAAAATGGTATTGTATAAAGACAGACATCATATCATTAATATTGTTGTTTATATTAGAATTTTTATAAGCCATTCATGAAAGTAATTTGTATACAAGTATTGTTCTTACCACACTGATACGTGGTCGGACAACATTCTCCTTCTGGCGGAGGAAGAGCAGTGCAGTTCTTTCCATGCGTTTTCATTGGTGTTCCACAGTCTTGAACGGCGCAAGCAATATCGCCACGGAAGCAGTAGCAGTGTTGGCAAGGTTGTGTCGAGTAAATCAAGTCGCCGTCCTCGTAAACTTTACCTTCGTAATAACACTGTGGTGCTGCACCAGGAGCAATTGTAGTAGTCATGATGAGGCCAGGTCCAACCGTAGTTTCAAGTCCTTCGTCGTATTCTGTTAATGTTAATTGTAGTAAATTATCATCTATTATTCATGATCTATATTATTATATCCGAAAGAGAAAAACGGGTCGAGTTATATTCGTTGACAGCTAACAAATATGTTCTTTGTTTAATATCAAATTATGTTCATATATATGTGACCGTGTAAAAGGAACAGGAACGTAAAGAAAAGATAAATAAAAAGTTAAGTTTAAACGACGTGTACACAGACTTGTACATCACGCTTGTCCGGAATGTCACATTAGATAGAATACGTGTTAACAAATAATGAGAGCCATTAAACGCGATACAAGAAAGGCTACTCACACGAACGTACAGTATGCAAATGGAACTTACCGCAGTCGTACTTAACCGGACAACATACACCCGATTTGTAGACAGGTCTGCATCCTGCCACGCGTAGTGTGCACTGCTGTATAACGCAAGCGGTTCTGTTCCTAATACAGTAGCAAAGCTCGCAAGGATTCGATTGATAATCGATTGGTAATTGGGCACCATCTGGATAAAATCGATCATCCATTTTGCATCCATAATTATCATGGAAGCCAACTTCCGTTGAGTCAGATAATGCTGGAGTATTGGTAGTCGATGTAAGCAATTGCACCGGTACTTCCGGACAAGTGATTACAGGGCAACATTGATCAGGTCTTTTTTCTACCGTACAGTCTTGTCCAATGGCTTTCGAGAAGGGACAAACTCTCAAATAGCACATCAACATTCGATTATGACATGTACAGTTCAGGCATGGCTCGTTCGTTATGATTCTGTCACCTTCCTGGTAATGTTGAAAGTTGTAATAACAGCCGGTTGCACCTGCGAATTTCATTGATTCTTATACAGTTATCATATCTCGATTATGTGTTACTCAGCTTTTTGAGCTACCAATGAATAAACATTAATTAGTATTTGATTTGTTAAGTTCATGAGTCGCATCGAACGTTGTTTTTATTTTTTCGAGCGAACATTAATTCAAGAACTTAATTAAGTCGATTAGAATCGTAGAACGAAGCAGTGCGTGTTGCCAACATATTCAGTGCGCTTTAATTAAAATGTTTATATCTATGACTTAGCGCAAATCGGCTGATTAGAAACAGTAAAAGTCAAGCGAATATATGTATAGGTATATCTATTTACGTACCTCCATCGTACTCTGCAACTTGTGTGGTATCCTGATCGTATACTGGAGCTGTAACAAAATTAGTACAGATTTCATTGACACGGTCGTTTGTATCAGTATTATATTTACATAATCTAATTTGATTTGATTAACATTAATATCTCGATTTGTAGCGAAGAAGTTTGTTTGTGCGTATAGTATAAAATTAAAGACGAATAGGTTAAAAGAATCGCAAAAATGTTGATTATAGATCGTTGTTGATTAGGTTACGAAATGGGTATGTTTTCTTTGGACAATGCAATTCGATTTAAGATCTTATCTGTTTCCGCGTGGAGAGATTTTCATTGGTAAAAATGTAACTGCAGCAAAGAACAAATAATCTCGGGAACTTGAGCTTTCGTATATGGTGAATCCTGTAGGGAGACGAATGCAGCTCTGGTGCTTGCAGTTTATCATAATAATTACTAGGCGGCGGGAGGCGTTTGTCTGGAGGGTGAACAAGGCTTTAACAACGGAGTGAGTCAAAGCGTCATATGGCACGAGCGTACGTGGGCGAATTCTCGTTAACACCCTCGCCCCGGTCGTACGAATTGTATGCCGAGTGTACGCGGAATACAAAATTCTCTTTCTTCTCTTTCCTCTTTATCCTTTTATCCTTTTATCCTTTTCGTACTCTCTACCTACGTTCTGTACGTTTTTCACGCGCGTTGCTTTTACAATTTCCTTGGTATTAAAGTTCCGCGAGCGGAACTCGTCTTCGATTGTCCCTGAAATACGACAAAACAATCTCCTTGACGTCAATTGGCGAGCTAGTTTTCTGATTATTTCGAGAGTAGTTAGTTATCCACGGATCCATCTATCCATTTCTTTAGTTTACGGCTTTTAGGAAATTGTTTTTTTTTTTTTTTCATAAGAGAGAGAAATTAAATGAAAACTATACTAGTTTTGCATTGAATTCTACGGTCAACGACCACTATTATAAAACGATGCCACTATTTTTATATTAGGCATCCCTGGCACAATATCAACGCGAAATTGAAGTAAAAAGGACCTTTTTACACAATGTCACAGATATTCTTCATTCTAAAAAAGTAGACGTTACTCTTTTAAAATGCATGAAGCGTTTCTGCGGAGGCTACGTGCATCGCGAGTCGAAGGATTAGTATCCCTTGTATCGCTCTTTCATTGAACAATACGTTCCTGGTAAAAGAATGTGACAACGGTTTTAAGCTATTTCTGATTGAAACATTTCGATTCTTTTGTAGTTTATTTATCGATTCTCTGATTTTTCATGCAAAGACTTCATCGTACCGTGGGATTTCGTTTTAACGTATGCGAATACAATTGATCAAATTTGTATTGATAATATTGAGAAAATCTTGCTAAAAATAAATGATATAAAATATTAAGTCTCGGAAATAATAACATTAGCATTCTATTCTGATCGCCGTTTTGCTTGTCGCGGAATCCGAAGCTGGCAGTTTCCAGCGAATTGAATTGTACTGGGAATTACTAGCGGGTCTGTGAATGGGACTCCCATTGCGAGTCCCACGAACTGGGTATCCGCGTGCCTCCACGCATACGCGACAGACGCATGGGGCCCAGCACGTACGAGTCTCTTGTATATATATATATATATATATATTGTTCGTATATATCTACCTACTCGTATGTTGCTCCACCTAAATTATTATTATATGAAGAAATATCGCTAAAGACGAGTATAACATTCAGAAATTTTTCTATTGAATGTGATCCAATATCGTATTATTCTGATTTTGTTATCATGTGAGAAAATCATTTGATATCTATTTGTAAATGTTAATTGATGACTTTTTTACAAGAATAATGATACGTCAAAAGTTACTGCATTAATACATTACACTTTTTTTTTTTATATTCCTCGTGTATTTGATTGACGATGATAAATTTTCTTTTTCTTTTTCTATTTATTTCTATCTTTCTTTTTTCTTTTAAACAAATTGCGGACTATGAGGGACGATAAAAAGACAAATCGTTTCATGCGAGACTTCTCTACCTTCTAGTAGCGAATATATTAACGAGAATGATGTTGCGTTATTTTATGAGCATCTCCATTTTGAAAAACACACGAAAAATTGCAATTTTGTTCCGTCATTAATGCAATAGAGAAAGACGAATAAGGATAGGTAATTATATTTTCTATTTGATAAAAATAATGAAAATAATTTTTTTGTAAAAAAATAAGAGGAAATGACAAGAAAAAGTAAGTTCTTATATTTTTTCAAAAATTTGTTCGGTTATAAGTCGAACATTAAGGTATCAACGGATTATGTAACGGCACGTTCAATGTCGAAGCGTGATTCAGCGAGATCTTAATAAAATCAGCAATTTTTGTTTAAATATAATGAATCGACAGGATTTAAAAGTAAATGTTGAAAAAAAGAAAACTAATTATTTTTCTAAAAAAAAAAAAAATGCATGGAAAATCCTATTTATCACATAATTTATCGGAAGGAAATATTACGTAAATTATGCAAATCAATGTACGTTATTTTCCTCTTAAATTTTTTATATTTTTTCCTTCTCCATTTCCATTATCGTTCCTTTCTGTCATACATCTTCTATAACTTTGCATCAGTTTTTTTTTTATTCCGTTTCGCTTCCTTTTACATTAAGGGACATGTACGGGTGCTCAATGCTGATATTATATATCACGGGTGTGAGTGCATGATACGGATTGAAAGAAAAAGAGAATAAAAGAAAGAGAGAGAGAGAGAGAGAGAGAGAGAGAGAGAGAGAGAGAGAGAGATGGAAGAACCCATTACGCACATTATGAGATCATTCCCGACGGCCTTACCTCACGAAAGTTCATTACCATCAAGCATACATGGTCGGATGAATACCTGGCTATAATTCTCGACGTATCGCGTGCATGAATTTCTGCACCAGATGTCGCTTTCAAGGTCACGGTTTCCCTTGTCATACTTCGAAACGAGGACGCTGTGTAATATGGAAGAGAAAAGTTACGATATCGATACTTTATTTTAATAACGAATCGATTGACATGTGATTAGCTAAATTGGAAAGATCTTTGATTATCTTCAAAGAATCGAAGAACGATCAAACGAGGTCGTTATGTTTTTACAAAACCTGTCTTATTTTGTTTTATTATAGATCATGTAATTCACGGATAAAATAACATTACAATCGAGTAAGTTTTCGGATTTCGATGTACACACTTTGATAACGATAAGCTCCAGCTTCATTGGTACATGTAAATATATATAGAACGGCTCGGGAATCAGGTGCGTCAGAACATGAACTGTATGTGGGCAACGTGGTGTGGTACGAGCGGTCAGTGACATTTCCCCCAGAGCCTTAAGAGGTGGCTCTTCGAAGGCTACAGGTTTGACCAGAATTCTTGTTGCATCGTACGGATGTAGACGCGAGGGTAGAAACCGCTATATAGCGTAGTTGTCTTCCTATTGCCTTCTTTTTTCGATTGTTATTGAACATTAAATCAGTACATCTTAAGTATTCCAAAGTTAATTTTTTCTTTTTTGCAGTGTGGAGTTAGGGATTATAGTTTTTTGTCTCGTTACGTTTATTTATACCAATGTAAATTATATATAGAAAAGTATAAGTATATAGAAGAAAAGTTATCGTGCATATTTGAATAGGAAGCGTAATGAATAACTGACAAACAAGATCACCTAGTGATCTCGCTTTGAAAGATGAAAAGAATCGGTTTCGCTGAAAAGATTTCTCCCCACTTGCTTTCATTCACTTGCTTCTTCATTTTAGCGCAACCGATTGACGAGAAGAAACAAGAAACAAGAACGACTCATCTTAAATCATTACTAATGCAACATTTTTACAAATTGTAGTGATATTTTTCGTACTACTTTGTGTTTCTTCTAAAATGATTGTGAAATAAAATAGGCCACTCTATCTGCTTTTTTTTACGATTACGAAGAGAAATGTTTTTGAAAAGATAAGAATCATGATATTGAGAATCTCAATCGAGAGAAATTAGTATTGATAGATCGATAAATCGTATGACGTAAACGAAAGAAGAAATTCATAATATTGCAACATCGGAAGAAATAAAATGGAATCTGATATCTGAATGGAATAATCATAAATTAGAAACTAACCGAGAACTAGTAGAGAGTAGTTTGGGTCCACGGGAAAGCACCTTGACCAGCGACTTGGTCAAAGCCAGGGTTAAATACTATGAGGTAAGATATCTATGGACGAAGAGAAAGGAGCGCTAAGAGGTTCGACGGCCTGTTAGCTCGTTCCTTCGGACCTTGGCCTTGTATACTTATGTGTCTGCGCACGTATGAGCACGTACACCAACGTTAACTCGTGCGGAAAGTGTAGAAATTATTAAAATTAATTGGTGTTTATTTAAATATGGGAAACTCTCAAAGTAACACGAAATTTATAGATAGTTCTTGAATTATATTTATTACTCGAGGGGAAACAGAAGTCGAAATAAGATGTATTGCTCGTTTGTCTCGAATGAATCCGAAGTGTCGGAGCAAAATGGTGATGGACAGAAAGAAAGCGAGAAAGAGAGACAGATAGACATAAAAAGGAGAGAAAGAACAAGAATTCGAAAAAAAGCAGTGTATGTTTCTTCAAAACGAGATCAATTTTTATTGTATATTAAGCTAAAACTTACCAGAATGGGTAGATTGCGAGACCAGGAAGATCACCAAGCAAAGAATTATTCCAGGTCTATAAGAGCTGGTACTCAACGCCGACATGTCGGAACTTATCTTCCGTCCTCTGTAAGATATGAAGAAAAAAGATCGTTAGATTTTGTAAGAGTTATTTATGTCATTTGAATAAAAAAATAAATTGTATTTAATCACGTTATAATTTCTATAATAAAATACGACGATTAGAAAAGTAGATAAAATGTAAAACATTTAAAATATAGAATGATTATACGATGCGATACTTGTAAGTTAATTAAAATAGTCAGTTTTAATACGGACAGTATAAAAGGCATAAAGCAATCTTAAAAATATTCATTCGTAAGACAGATAAGAGACTCGTTCAGTCACGTTTCGTTCTATCGGAACTGCCAAGCTAGTTTTCTTTGACAGGTGGACGTGTAATAGCAGATTCTTGGGAACAAGCCAATCGCATACCTTCGCACTTTGACTGAACAGTTCTCGTGAGCGAGTTATGAGTTGTATGCGAATGAATCTCGGAAATGCTTCGAAGTACATAGTACACGTATCGATGAAAGTGTGAAAATCCGTAACGCCTGCCATCGACGTTTGTAGAATCCATAAACAATGCGATGCAATTAAATGCGTTTGCATTCGTTCGTGTAGATATGTGTACACACTGCTTGACTACGGTATCGTGACTTCGGAAGGTTTAACTGCGTGGGAATAACTGCTTTTTTGTTTGAACGCTTTTAACAGGTTTAGAAGTCTCTTTCGTATTGGCGCAGGTATTTGTTAAGAACGAACGTGTTTCGATGATGGTAGTAGAATTTGTATGCCTTCGATTGAGGTTGTTCGAGGAAAAAGGAACTCTACCGAATACCTGTGCGAATATGTGAGTATATATATATACATACACAGGGATGTTGAGTCATTGCGAAATCGTTGAGTTCACGGAACGATTAGACGAGGGTAATCATGAAGAAGAGAACGGTCAAGAAGAAATCGAAAAGGCGAGGGAACTTTGTAGAACTCGACGCATTCCAGCCACGACAGCATGCTCAATACAAAGTAGTATCGAGATAAAAGAGCGTGGGTTGTTACTCGTCTGCATGACGACTTCTTTTCTATGTTCGTGACCTCTTCCTTTTTCTCAGCCGACACTTCATTGTAACATAGAGAAGCAACGCGAGACGTCTAAGTACTCTAAACGATTTCTATGTACTTGTGCACGCTCGGTAACGACGCTGTATATATGCTTTTCTTTCTCGTATACCGTCGTAAAATTATTTTTATCTTTTTCTTTTACTTCGAAAATCAATAAATATTCACAAATATACCAATAGAAAATATTCATTTAGATAATAAAAATTAGATACAAAAAATGTGTTAATTGAAACGATTCTTCTAAATAATTTGAAATCGTCGGGATTTCCACAACATACGCTTTGCCTTATTTTTTATACAGTTCGAACAGCTCTCTGTGAACTCCGTAAACCGTACTGGAAGTTAATCGCGACCTTACGTCATTGCGTATTCACGGTACGGCCCATTGAACAGGGGAATTCGGTGAATGGGTATTCCAGCGTACATCGAGGACGCGAGTTCGCATGATTGCTTTGTGTTTGAACAATTCGAGAAAGAATGGCGTTTAATTTTGTGTTTAATTTATAATCTAACCCATTGTCGAAAGAACTCGATTTATTTAGCTAATTTATTAATTTTACGATCATAAAGTTTCATTTCTCGTAATTAAAAACGTTCCTTTGATATTGGTTTAACGGAAATAAAGAGAACAAGAAAAAAAAAAAGAAGAAAGATAGGTATGGAGATTGTAAGAGAAGTTAAACACGATGTATCGTCTTTCGAATTCTACAACGAGGCAGGTCACTCTCGTAGCACGTTACACACGTATTGTTGTATTAATGGTAATCAGGAAACAACTCAGGAGAGTCGCATGAATGGAATAGATGCGAGCACATGTCGCGCCCACGCTCCGTTTTTCCCTCTCCCTTTCCTTCTTCTTTTCCTTGTCAGATCTTTTATCTTTCTCTTCTTTCTTTTTCTTTTTTTCTCGGTCCATCCTGATTCGTTGCAGTTCTGTATTACTTTCAATCTTGCTCGCAGGACCAGGTTGTAGCTTGTAATCACTGAACCAAGACTAATTTCACTTACGCTCTCGATACGCAAGACACCGTGTCCGTGTAACAGCTGGGAACACGGAATTGTTTTACAAGGTAGAAAACTAGTTCTTTTCATTCTACGATTTAGCGAATAATAGACTTTATTTTTCTATTGACTTTAGTTTTTACTCAGTTCATTCGACGGATACATGTCTGTTCCTATCGAACAAGCAATGTTCAACGTAATTTTAGAAACCGTTAGACATCTATTTTCTTTTCTCTCTTTACTATCACCGTACCGATAATTTACCGATCGATAACAGCTGGTACGTGCTTGGTTCAAAGGTTAAACACAATAATTTCGTTTCTCTTCTTTTCCTTCCTTCGTGACAGCTGGTCCAGTGATAATTACAGTGACATAAAAATTTCTTTCCGTGAGTCCGAAGTTAAAAAACGAGTCGCCTATGAATGCACCCACGGCTTCGACAGAACCAGGCTGCTACCTGCTCTCAAGTATTCCGTTACAGCCCGGAGGCTGCATTCGTTCGCTATTATCGTGGAATGCGGAATATGATTACCCTTCACTTGAAAACTTAAGAGATTCGACGTCGCATCTTTTGGTTAAAGAAGACCGTAGGGGTTGTTTTGTCTCGATACTGTGAATCGAACATGAAATTCATAGTACTTACAAATCTTTAAACAGTATTGATTAATTGTAATTTAATATGGTAATCAGATAGAAAATAGATTAATTATTATATTTAACTAGTATACACGTGAAACATTTTATAATTTATACGTAATAATATCTCATGCAAGTATCTCAAAGTAATCAGAATAATCAATTGACAGTTAAACTCAGTAGCTACATATACAGAAAGTCGGAACATATTATGAACAGGAAATTATCGTATGCATGCATGTTAAATAGACACGTTTGAGAATAGTCAACATCCGTTGTGCCACACATATGCGCGGATCATGAACAGCTCCCTGTGCATCCGTTTTATTGGTGAGACGTACAGTTATTAAGAGGTATACTATAGCTAGAAAGTTTCTGACCACCCATGGTAATCGTATGGAACTCTGTGTTCCTTATCCCTCTTTCTCTATATTTTTTTCTTTTTTTTTTATCTCATAAGAATCGTCGGAAGGAGTATCCTAAACGTAGGAGAAAAGATTGATGGTCGTTGAAGAGTATCCAAACGTCAGAGCTCGAGATGGAACCTCGAAAGGGATCTCCAATGGCATCGTGACGCAATAGAAAACGGTTATTTCCGACAAGATACGACTGCGAAGAGGTTTCCAAGCATAGTCGTCGAGAATGACTAACGGGCTTGTTCGTCTTTCGTAACAGGTGAATTCAATAGCCGTGCGCTCTGGTACTCGCTGCTTCATCTCCTACTCTCTTGCGGGCTATGTGCGTTTCGACGACTAAAACTCGATAATTGACAGCTATCCGTGCGGGGAGATCTCGAGTGCTTCATTTTTTCAGGATAACAGTTTTCTTTTTTAAGTGCTTCGCCACCACTTTCGATGTGATCCTTAAAACGTGCTTCATTTTTTCTTTATTTCGTTCACTTTCTCTCTCTTTTCGTTCTCATTTTTTGGTATTTTTTTTCTAGCAATTTTTTTTTAGATTTATCAATGAATTCGTGCCTTATGCATCACATAATTTTTAATTGTTCTTATTTTAAATTTCATTTATTTAGATAATTATTCGAACCTCCATTACTAGATATACTTTTTAGTTAGAGAACATTATTTATTCTTCTTTTTATTTTATTTTTTCTTAATTTAAATATCAATCGAACGAAGTATTTAGTATAAAAATATCAACATAAAATTTTCGTCTTTTCAACAAACAACCATAGAATCGTAAAAGTAATGTGGTTTCGATATTGTCAAGAGAAGACTTCTTCGAATATCGTAAAATGAGTTACTACTTATATCTGATTGTCCGATAATTCTTAACGAGACGAGGTAAATCGAGTTGTAATGCAGACTGAAAGAGGTCGGGTTGGATTTAGCGTGAGTTTGTAGATGCAGAATGTAACAGGGTCAGAGATCACAAGATCAATGCGGAGGTGGAGTTGTGGAGGCGGTTAAATGAAGTTATGCAAATTACGAAGAATAAACGGATAAAGTTCCGTGAGGCTGCTATGATTAACCGAAGAGATCAACCACCGATGTTTCTCCCAAGCGTCTGAACCTGGGAACTCTTCCACGGTTAATTATGACAATTAGCAAGTGCTGCTGTTTCTATCTCCGCTTCCTTAATCTCTCCCTCGCTCTACCTCTCTTAGACCTATACAGGTGTGCCCGCGTACAGAGTTATACACATATTCTTCTCTTCTTAATGCATAAAGTGTTTGGCCCTCGGTAGAGGGAAGCTCTTGTTCTTTCACCTTCAAAGACTCTGACTTCCGCGTGTCACGTTGCGAACACACTTCTAGACTGGTCCTGGCTAGTAAACGCGGGATAGGCTGACAGGAAGACAGGCTCGTTACACGATCGTCAAGCAGCGATCTCGATTCGAAAAGACCTTCTTGTTTCTTGTAATTACGCCTGTGAAATGTTTACTCATGCTCGTGAGCTTTTTTATTCACGGTATTGATTGTAAAATATTACCGATGTACATTTCTACATATAATACATTCCCGTGTGTATAATAAATTTCTAGTAGTCAATTCATTGCTATCGAGTTGTTTAATTAAGAATCGATCGAACAAATTTAGCGAATTTACAAAATATACTCGATAAATCTCTAAGAAACGCCGAAAAGTAGGAAAACGAAGATATAATAAATACTCATTATCTCTTTTTTTCTCTTTCGATAAAGTGGGAATTATTGAAGTAAAGTCCGTTGAGACGAAAACTGCGTTAGGAGCTTTTTTAGGTCGATTATAAGGAGGGTTAAGAGACTATCGAGTATTCATTATGTCTAATGACCTCTCCGAACGGCAAGTGCTTTTAGGCACGAACG